AAAATCCTGCTGCAATCTTGAAACTCATCTCAGTTCAGAGGTGGAATCTGGAAGCTGTCTTAATATTAGACTGGAAGGTGTATCTCACAGGAAGCTTGTAGTGACTCTCCCTCTGTGACACAATGAGAAATAACATTGGCTGCAAATCAACAAGGTAACAATGATGACCCGAGGCCAGTTTGCTTCATCTGAGAATGTGATTAATTTCATCTGATCTGCAGTATTTTGCTAAACAGTCTGAAGCGTTTGTTTTACTAATCAGAGACCTGTTCTAGGTTAATGATGTTACACAGTTGTAGCCAGAGGATACATTGAGAGTCACAATAACTGGGCAGGATGGTCTAGATATTGGTTGATGTTACACCCATTTTAAAGGCATAAAATGATCTAATAAAGTGATAGACTGGGCACACACCCTCAACACCAGAAATGCATCATCTGCCATTTTGGTAAAGAAACATCAACACGTAAATTATTAATTCTTTCAGACCATGCCGTAAAGCCCATATTGTCACTACTTCAAAATCCAAAAATCTGAACTGCAAATAATATGAAACATATATAGAAGTAATTCCCACCACCTACATCACAAATGATAAGTATTGGCTACAACACTCGGCTTCATTAACCTATCTGTGGCAGCAGATGAAATTGAACATCTCATCTGAAAGACCACACCTCCTACAGTTCATCCTCCTGCAATTACTGTGTCAGAGTCAAAATTAGAAAGTGCTGGAGAAACTCAGCAGGGCTGGCAGCATCGGTGAAGAGAGAAACAGTGTTAGCATTTTCAGTCCAGTGACCCTACTTCAGAATGACGTCAGACTGTCAGTCTTGATTCTGATGCTTGAGCTTTGAACTGGAACTTGAACCTTCTGACTTATAGATGAATTTACGAACATATGCTTTAGGAGCAGAGTAGGCCATTCAGTCCCGCGAGGATGAGTTATTATTCAATAATATCAGAGCTGATCTGATTGTAAACTCAAATCTGCATTCCCACCTATCCCAATAACCTTTCACCTGCTTGCTTAACAAGAATCTGTCTTAAAAATATTCAAGTATACAAAGAGATAAATTAGATGATAGTGCTACAACTGAGTTACAGCTGCCACGAGTAGAAGAGAAATTAATGTTTTGGATGCAGAGCCCTAAAGAGAACTATATTTATGTTTTAACTGTTAGACATGATGAATTGTAAGAACACTTAACAATGGCTGTTTCTAAGCTTTAAGAGCACGATGCCTTTGTTTACCTATGTTACTGCCAATCACCATAACCAGATCACTGTCCCCAGCCTTACCCACCTCACCCCACAGCCTCACCTGTCTAAGGGGCTGGAGATCTGAAGATAATGCAGCAGGTGTTTGGCTAATCTGTGCGGCTGCTGTTTAATTAAATTGAAAGCACAGCAAGTTTCTCAGAAGTGCTCACCAATGTATGCACTGGTTCGTGTCATGTGCACATTGCTGGAGAAGTGAGACTGATACATCATACAGCTATCGCTTGCTTCCAAGCTTTTCATAAACACTTTCAGAGAAATTGCTCCTCTTTTGATGCCCATAAGAGCACAGCTTAGGTATAGATCCACAGGAGACTGATGAATAGGTGGGGAGAGGTGAGGAATCTGCAGAGGGACGAGGACAGGTTAAGTGAGTGGACAAAACCTTGGCAGATGGAAAATAATATGGGTAAAGGTGAGGTTATGCACTTTGGCAAGACATTATTTCAATGGAGAAAGCTGCCGCACAGAGGGATTTAGGGGCTTTCATGTCTAGGTCACAAAAAGCTGGCATCCAAGTTTAGTAGCTAATAGGGAAAGCAAATGAGGTACTGATCTTTATTTCAAGGCAATGGAACATAAAAATAGTGAAGCCTTGCTACAACTATACAAGGCACTAGTCAGACCACAGCTGGAATATTGTAAACAGTTTAGGTCCCCTTAACTAAAGAAAGGGACAGTCTAGGACCACAGGTCATTGACTCGGGGTAAGTGATTGCCCGTTTAAAACTGTTGAGGCTTTTTTTTTCTCTCTGAGGGTACTGAATCTATGGAATTCTTCAGCACAGAGGACTGGAGAGGCTGGGTCATTAAGTATATGTAAGACAAATTTTTAATCAGTAAGGGATAAAGGATTAATGGGAGAAGGCAGGAAAATAGAGATGGGGATTATCAGATTGGCCCTAATCTCATTGAATGGTGGAGCAGACTTGACGGGCCAAATGGCCTATTTCTTCTCCTACGTTTTATGGTCAAGTAAAGAATCTGAGTGAGTGTTAACAGCACCAGAGGGATCAGAGTCTAGACAGGTTCTGACAGTTTTCCTGCTTTTTAGCTCCTGAACATTTAGCCAAATTCAATGCCTCCAGTTCTACCATGTGGGATCTGCTGCCTCTTTGCACACAGGAAATTAAGTCAACAAGTCAGATTTTACACTATTCAGCAGACTTGAACTCCAAACAATAAATGTAACGCAAGGGGGGAAAGTCCTTTATTATACAAGTTTAATATAAACCTGAAGGAACGATCATGGCTCATCTATTTATTCAAAGTGACAACACTTTGTCTGCTAATCATATAGAATCCAACTTTATTCAGAGACAGCGGATAAACCGCATCGTGGAGAAAGTAATGGAAGTGTAAGCAGAGAGTGCTGAATGAAATGGAGTCTTACGTGGAATACAAATTCTGACGTGCACTAGTTGAGTCAGTGTTTTTTGTGCCTGTGTGTGTTGCTATACAACCCCATTATTCGTTGTATGAACCATAGAGTTCCTGTTCATACAGAAACGGGTAAACTAAGTAGGTACAAGAGCTGCCTGTTGCTGCAGTACAGTGGCACAAGGCCGTGTTCAACGATTAACCTGGCCGCCTATCACAGGCAGTTTAACACGGCTGGGAATATTGGCAGGCACAGGCTACCCGGCTAAAGCTGACTGGTTCTAATCCAAACTCCATGGCCATGCACTTTCTCACCAATTGCTGTGATTTCATCGGGGCGTGTGTTCTGGAATGGGTGTTGGGTTTCCAAACCCGTAGGTTAGCTTAAAATTTCATAAATGTCGCCCACCAAATTAAAGGGGGTAATGCAGCGCTTCTCTCAAATCCAGGAAAAAGCTCTGTTATGAAGGTTTTGTGGTAGCATCTCTGGGTCAGAAGGTTCAAGTCTCAACTGCTTAAAGGTGTGTACATAACCTGACAGCTCGATATCATATGTATAAAATAATACGGCGATAGGATGTATTCAAAGGGGGAAATTTTACCTAGAGGCAAGCGATGTTGGGCTAATGCAATGTTGGGCCACCGCTGGGAAAAAGAACACAACCAGTTACAAACATCATGCAAAAAGGGGTTAACACGGGGGCTTTCAGTTCAGAAGGTTTTTCTCCCGTTCCTTTTCTCACCTCGATCATTGATTGGCATGCAATATAGATTTATATCAACAGGAGCAGATCGGGGTCAATCCCATCCAAGGTAGCAGAAATACATTTGTATGTTAAATTATTTTCACAGCTCTGCTGTGTCTAAGATGCAACCGGGGCTGAATGTAAATGTGTGTAGCCAGAATCTCACACTTGGGCTCGAATGATATCGCCCAAAGGGTTTAAGAATTTATTTAGCAACGCTATATATTTTTGGCGACTTTTATCACCCGGGTGTGTGGGCAGTTAATAGCAGCCGAAGAGAGATAACCAGCAAAAAAATAAAATGCAGATTCATACAGTCACCCCGCTTCCTAATGTGAATTTAGAATTGAAGATAATGCATATAAGCGGTGTCCCTCTAAAAACACTCTCCTAAATCTGTAAGGTATTGTTGATTTCCGTTATTATCCTCTCCCGTCTCAGAGAAACTCCCAGTATTTATTGAATTGCCCAGGAACATGCTGAGGGAGTGAGGGACAATGCTCAATGAGTGCCTGATATTGAATTCATTTATCAATTAAATGCAACGGGCCTCTTAAGATTGCTGCAGGCTTTATTTTGTAGATTTTAACGGATTTATAGAGAGAAGAGTATGGGGATGCTTTGGAAATCGTTTGCTTCCTTTGCTTTCCTTCTTTTGACATTTATTTGGCAAATACATATACAGCACGGACACACAATAACACAGAGGCACAACACACATCAACATAAAGATACAAAACTCAAATGAGACAGAGAGGTACAACACACGCACTAACACAGAGAGGTACAACACACACCAACACAGAAAGATACAACTCACACTAACACGGTGGGGTACAACACATACTAACACGGAGAGGTACAACACATAAATTAAGACAGAGAGATACCACACACATTAACACAGAGATGTTCAACACGCACCAACACGATTGTACAGCACACACACACTAACACAGAGAGGGACAACACAAAACTAACAGAGGTACAAACACACTAACAGAGGTACAATACAAGCAGATACACAGAGGTATAACACACATACTCAGAGGTATAACACACACACACACAAATACACACAACATAAAGATACAACACAAACACAGGGTTAAGCACATTAACACAAATACCGACACAGAGATATAACACACATAAACAGATGAAGATGCAACATGAATACAGAGACTAATAGAGATACAACACACTAACACACACACGGATGCAACACACATACACCACATCATCACAGACCAGATTTCAATTCCTTCCTCAAAGGATGGAAGTGGAATGTTCCGGCAAACATCTCGTTCACAGCCTAGAGCCTTCTCTCAACATTGGGAGGTTTTGAAATAAAGCACAAGTCTTCTCTTTGAAAATGAGATTCCTCCTTTAAGATGACGCCATGAGTTCCCCTGTAATTGACAGGCCACCTGTGGGATGAGGAGGAGGGAGAGGGGCTTCATCAGACAACCCCTTACCAAAGGTGAGAAGGGAGCGTGGGGGAGGGCAAAATAAAACAATCCTGCCTATTGTTCCAAGCTAACATATAAGGAAGGCTGTCACCGTCAAGCCAGTCTCCCTGTCTGATTGCTACTGTCACCACTTATAAAGACAAACAGAGGCAGACTGGGCAGGAGGCAGCAATGCTGTGAAGTAAGGGCTCAATTGCAATTCTCCAGCAGCAGCACCGTGCTGTGCATAAGTCAGCTCCCACTTACCGACATGAAGAGACTTCTCCCCACGGCTGGACGGCGAGCTACAGAAAAGAGCAGGGAGAGATTGAACCAGGTAAGCGAGCAAAGGTAATGGAAGAGGGAAAGAAATTACTTATTCTAACTTGATTGATTCAAACTGTATTCAAAGTACCTTTGCTAAATGTGTTAATGTCTCGGTGTGTAATTGATATCCTGGTGTTCAACAGACCAGATCCCATTCGACGGTAAATTTGGAGACGGCGCGTTTACATTTTAAACTTTCCTGCCAGCTATTAGTCCGGAGACATGAACAGGAATAATCACGTTAATCCATTTCTCACACGTTTATTTTCAACGCGCGCCGACTGCATCGTTTCAGTGACATTCTAATTGGAGAGGGTCTAACTCGTTTTGCAAACTGAGACTGAAGGTTGGTAATTAGAGAGTCGTCGAAAATACAAATGCATATTACAAACCTAGGATTGTTTCAACCCCGATTGAATCGCTAAACTGTCATCATTAAATCAACCCGCCCTGCAGCATTTCACTTAGCCACACCAGCTCCCCACCTCAGTGCTGAGTGTCCAGTGCGTGTCCAGCACTTCCTCCCTCACTTGAGAAAGTTCACCTGAACCCTGACCAGGAACTTCGAAGAAGTATTGTCACTAACACAAAAAGGGATGCAGTCATCTCGAAATGTTCGGCCGCGGAACTAAATGTCTTGCTAATTTGTCTGCTCGGTCACAGGGTTATCCGTTGGAGATGCCAGAGATTAACTAGCTGGTGATTGCTCGCACTTAGTCTCTTCTAGGATTTCAATCCTGAAGTGGAGGAGAGCCGGGGAATTTTGCAGATAAAATTACACTCACAGAGCACCAGAGACATAAATCAGGACCGTGGCGACATGCAGCCATACACTCACTTGTCAAAGCAATCTTTAGAGTTTCAAATTGAAAGAAGGTTCCAGTAGGACCTACACCCCAGCTAGTAACTCAATACCCATGTAAATGTTGCTCGTCAACTCGGGAAACCTGATGTTTTCAGTTGCGAGCGGTTCCTGTCTGTCCAAATAACAGCTACGCAGCGGTTAGCTCTCTGGACGTTTAGTCTGTGGTTCCCTGTGGCTTGTGTCTATCTGATTATGTCCTCAGGCTTCTGGGCGGGTCTCCCTTTTTTCGTACCTGTCTGTCTTGCTCTAAAAGTCTGTCTGACTGCGTGTGTGTGTGTGTCTGTGTTTCACTCTGCCTTCGCTTCTATCTATAAGTCTAGGTCTCGGTATCCGTCTATGTATCTCTCTTATCTGTGATCCGGATATTTCTCTGGCTGCTTTTGCGCGCGCGCGTGTGTATGTGTATTTTAGCTTTTTTTTTGGATGTTTGCTTGGCCCCCTCTGAACTTGTCTGTGCCTGTCTGTCCGTGCCGACTCTTTCGGTGTCTGTATGTGTATGTCTTTGGTCTCGAGACCATTTTACCTGAGTAGTTTTGCCTCGTAACCTTGAACTTTGTGATGACAATTGCTTGTAATGTTGAGCTGAACAAATATTGTATTTAGATTTTTAAAAAATCTAACTGAGTTTAAGGTGGAAGACTCCCAACATGCCTGGATACTTTCAAGTAAATCCCATACATTTATTACCATCGACAGATAAAAAAAACCCGTTGGTGTGAATGTGGCTTGACCTGTCAAACTGAATCTATTTGAGATAGTAGGAACTGCAGATGCTGGAGAATCCGAGATAACAAGGTGTAGAGCTGGATGAACACAGCAGGCCAAGCAGCATCATAGGAGCAGGAAGGAGTCCGCTCCGATTCTATGCGTTGACACGTTCTGGGTCATTCACATCCCTGCTGCTTTAGCAAACACGCTGTGTAACTCGCACAGCTTCTGCTGGGTGTGCTCCACGAGCGAGTTATTTTAGGGAAGGAGGTCCCGAATGTAACACACTAGTAACATGTATATTGTACTGTCCAATTTATATGTTCAGCGGATTCACAATGATGAAGCCGCGTTCTCTTGTCAGAATTCCGGAGAGCTCCCGTCATTCGGCCCCAAGCAAATCAGATAAGGCGAATTTGTGAAAAGAGAGAGAAGAAATCCGCGTCAAGTTCAAATAATCGTATTGACTAACATGTGAAACGTTGTTAACGGTGGATTTTACAGTTATTTTAAGATTGACTTAAAGGTTTTACTTTAATGTCCACCTCGACCTGCTCCATTTCCCTTTCTCATCTTAGGTTTCCCGGAGAGAGTGCCGGCTACCCGGGTTGTGCTCCCCATATCCACTGATAAGACTGCCTAAATCAATTTATTCTCTCTCCAATATTGGAATGATGGGAGCTCCCATCTCCTTTGGTTTTTCTTTCTTCCCAGATTCTACAGGCACTCAAAACCAAAACTTGGTGCAAACTAATGCCCCCTCTGTCTGCTTCAGCTGTTTCCAGTAGTGCTGTCATCCTGCATTACATGCTTTGACCCTTTCACCTAGACATCATTATTTTTACATAAAACCTCCCAATATCAATTTCCTTGTTCATTGTGCCCAGTCTTCTAGTTCATCAACATCAGACAGCTCTTATACTTTTGATACCCCCCAGAAGAAGATGTATACTGACGTGTAGAGTCCTGGTTTCAAGGCGAAGTTTGCGGCTGGTTTCAGCACCGGCAGAAGAGGGACAGCTCCCAGGGCCGAGTTCACTTGGAACAATTCTCAGTGCCTATCTATCTATGAATCTATCTATCTATAGAGAGTGCTAGCTAGCTAGAAAGAGGATGGGTGGACATTACAGTGCACTTTTGAGTATTTGGATACTGAAAGCTAGCTAGTTATTGCGCCTGCTATTCTCGTTTTCATCCATTTCCACTTTCTATTTCCAAACATTCAACAGTGTACTGTCTAATGTCCACACATCCTCTTTCTAGCCCTCTAATGGTTCAGCATCTATCGCTCCAGTATACAAAAATAATTTATTCTCTAGTCCATCGGTTATTTCTAGTCGTGAAAAATTTGTTTCTCATTATGACTTTGATTGTCCCTCACTGTATTATCAAAACAATTTATTATCTGAATGATGGTCTAACCTTTCCTGGCTGCTTTTGTCAGCATTCTCCTACAAACCACAGCATTCCCCCTCATGGCATCCCCATTCTCCCCTGCCCTCCACATCCCATCACACACACAAACTTTCTTATCTACTGATAAGAAAGACTGCCTAAATCAACTTATTCTCTTTCCAGATTCGGAATGGTCATCTCCGTTGGTTTTTCTTTCCTCCCAGATTCTACAGGCATTCAAAACCAAAACTTGGTGCAAAATAATCCCCCCTCTGTCTGCTTCAGCTGTTTCCAGTGGTGCTGTCGTCCTGCATTACATGCTTTGGCCCTTTAACATAGACATCTTTATTTTTAAATAAAACCTCCCAATATCAATTTCCTTGTTCATTGTGCCCAATCTTTTTGTTCCTCCACATCAGACATACTTTTAATGCCCCTCAAGAGAAGATATATGCTGATGTATAGAGCCAAATGTATTTCATTATAAAATAATAGTTCATGCTGAAATCCTGATACATGTACTTCATATGAGCAGTTCGAGATAAATGGATTATTGAGATGACAGCAATGATCACTTATCCATAAAATTTCTAGTACATTGCACTGGTACCAACATTTGCTCCTCTGATTGTCCACCCTATTTATGTCCTGGACAGATTCCTTTATAAGTAAACTCATCTTCTTTTGTGCACTGAGCACATATCATCAGCCAACATTTTGTTGGCAATTAACTCTTTGAAGATTGCATTAGCATTTCTAAATTATAACAAAAGGATGATCTGACTCAATGAAGATTGCATTTGGAGAATGTGATTATGAAGAATAAATGGCTTTGGATGTCTTAATCAGGATGTGATTATATTTCCACATACCAAATGATTTATATATCCAATGATTTGCAAAATCAATAACAGTTGTTGGATAGCCTCACCAGCTTCTACATAATGATTATTACTATTTTCACATGCTTGTAGCTTTGCACAATATCTAAATAAGAACTGTATCTGACCACATAAAAAGCAAGTGATAAAATCATATGTTTATTACATGTGAAGAAGTCTGTGGTGTAAAATACTATTTATAGATTTCATGGTACAATGTTAGTAGAATGTGTTTGTATTAAATTTTTGAAATTTGAATGCATTCTTATCTTATGATATTAGGAAGGCACAAGGCTCTTTGGAAGTGTTTGTGATATTGTAGCAGTTTATGAAAGTGCATCAATTCTTTTTGGAAGAATAGGTCAAAAGACATGGTGACAATAGCTGGAGGCTATAGATCAGCATCAATGAAGGTTCAAGGAAGAAAACTGAAAGCAGAGTTGGACTATTCCTGTTAGAAAGAAGCAGGAATCCTTTATTTTCTTCAGCTATTGAATAAGTCAGATGAAAGGTCAATGCACAGGACAGCAGCAAGGATAGAATAGAGCAAAAAAGAGAAGGTGAATTAGAAATTAATAGATATATTCTGCTAATCACAAATTTAAAAAGCTTGTGTATCAAACAAAAAGGAAAGATTATGAGATTTGAGAAAACACAGGAGTGAATAAAATATGGATGGGCAGGAGAAAATGTGTTTGTTGTTAATATTCAGACCTATGCTTCTCAGGTATTCCCCCTTGTTTTGTGTTTGGTGTCTCTCAGTCTGCCAAGAAATGCAATCAAATAAAACTTCTTCTAGTTCCTCTTGGGCTTTATGGGTTAATGCACCAGCACTTAATCAAGAGTTAGTTGGGTATTAAACAACTGTTATGTAATGTGAACAAAAAGAAATTCAACATAAATGGCCCTGCACTGAAATTAAATTTGCAAAGCCCTTCACAACCAATAAATTACTCTGGAAGTAGTCACTATTCTTATATAAGCAATGTAGCAGCCAATCTGCATGCAGCAGGTCCTATAAAATGAAAATGAAAGCCAAATCAGATAAGTTATTTTCGCTCCTGAGAGAAGAACATTCATCAGGACAGCTTTTCTTTGAATCGTGCCTTAGGATCTTTAACATCCTTAGGAACAGACGGACAAGGCCTTGATTTAATGACTCATCCAAAAGCCAGAACTCGTCACAATGTACAAGTACTTCAGTCTTGCATTGAAATATCAATCTAGATTATTTGCTCAAGTCCCAGAATGGAGCTGTAACACATAACCTGATTCTGAGTGCTATTGACTGAGGTAAGCTGACACTAGATTGATTGGTTTTTACCCTTAACGACAATGGATTTAATTTCAATACAAGCTATGGTCATCGGGAGTGCAGATCATATAGAATCAGTTTTGTAAGGGAAGCAACAATGATCTATACTCATGACTGGTGAGACGATATCTTTGATTTTACCATATGTTTTTGAGCTTCTAGCAATGTAACAGAGAGTGGGTTTTGTACTGCCCATTGAAACAGGCATGGTGGCAAGGGTGTGGGCATGGGCGTGGTGTGGAGATGGGAAATGAATTAGGATTGTCCGCATTGATGTCAAGAAGACTATCCCTAATAAATTTGGGTGGGAGTGTCCAATCTGGGAATCCTTCCTGCCTGTGATGAGAAGGCAATTAGACTCATTAATAAGCTGCTTGTTAGCAGTGGGCCCTCAGTTCACCAAGTGGTGACCAGAGATTCCGCAGAACTCACATGGCTGTCCCATTCCTCCTGGTGGCCATACAGCTCTCTTAAATGCCTGCAATTTTGTGAGGGTGGGTGGGGGAGCAATCCCTCTTTCACTTTGTATCTAATTGAGGGATCCATCATTGGGAAAGGGTTTCATATTTGCTCATGGTTTGGGGATTTTGCTATCTAGGCCAGTATTTATAACCCATCATTATTGCCCAGACGGCAGTTAGGAGTCAACCTCAGTTCTAGTCGTCTGGAATCTCATGTAGGCCAGACCAAGCAAGACTGGCTAAAGGACAAGTGTAAACCTGATGGGGTTTTAAAACAATTGAAAACGGTTACATGGTCACCAGCAGGCTAGTTTTTTTTATTCCAGATCTTTTTGTTGAGTTCAAATTTCACTACCTACAATGTTGGGATTTGAATCCATCCCCCCTGTATATCAACCTGTGGTTTTGGTACAGTTGACATTACCACTACGCCACCATCGGCATAATTTTGTTTCTCAAAACAAGAAATTCTGCTGAAGGCCATCCCTTGTCCTTTTATCTGAACCCTTCCCCTGACTGGCAATCCTTTCCCAAAACCATATTTCTACCCTCACTCACCTGTGCCTTGAGATCCAGAGTTGAACCGGGGCCTAGCCCTTTGTGCATTACTTGCAGCAGCCATTGCTGCCACTGATTTTCCCTACAATGAAGGGTTATGATTGATTGGCAGCTCACAGGGTTGGAATTTTCATTCTTGAGGCCATCTCCAGGCCCCCCTCCAACTAAAGTCCCTCAAGAATGAAAACGGACATTCAAGTGCCTCATGGGCATTTAATTCCCCTCAAGACTGATGCAGGTTTCCCTCTGGTTATCTAATCAGTGGAGAAGTATGTAGCACTGAAATAAATCCAGCCCCAAGTCACAATACATGCCCTAGCACTTGCAACTGTCAAAGCAACATGTTGGGACTAAACCTCAGCTGTCCTAGTGAAGTTGGTAGAGTTAAACTATTTGTTCTAAACTTTATTTGTTTTAACAGGAGACAGTAGAAGGCTTTAATGGACAACACAATCTTGGTGAGAATAGCATGAGTTTTACCAAACTCTGGTTAAACTCTGGCTTATTTTAGTTATCCCTAAGGGTTGGCACTTGCTGACCTGTACCTAAGCTCTCTGAATTTGGTATGTGTGTTGTGTTTCATATCAGGAATATGGTATTTTTACCTGTGTTGATTTCTGAGTAGCTTCATTTGATGATCTTGAACACTGTGATTGATTTCTCTACATGTCACAGCCCTGGCAAAGAAACAAAATGTTCCTTCTCTGTTCCTTCTTTGCTATTTACCACCAACCCACAGATTTCAATTGGTTACATTTCTTTTCTAATCCTAAATTCTCTAATACATCGAATGGCCAATTTTCTGCTTATTTTTCAGTTGAACAGGTTTCCAATTCCATTTCTATTTTAGAGCATGAAAAGCTCATGTGCATGAGTGAGATCAGAATGTAATTTAAATTATTCACAATTTATTGCTTCTTTATTAAGGGTAGTGTTGCAGATCTTCTCTAATTCTTTTAAGTATTGTTAAGACATCATTTGCCTCAGAAAGTTTAACAAACATGATGCTTTTCCTCATCTAGGTTATGATGTGGAGGTGCCGGTGTTGGACTGGGGTGAACAAGGTCAGAAGTCACACAACATCAGATTATAGTCCAGCAGGTTTATTTGAAATCACAAGCTTTCAGAGCGCTGCCTGTTCGTCAGGTGAAGGGGCAGCGCTCTGAAAAGCTTCTGATTTCATATAAACCTGTTGAACTTTCACCTGGTGTCATGTGACTTCTGACCTCATCCAGGTTATTAATTCCTTTTAAATAGAGGCCTTTATGTGTTTAATTGCAGACAATCTTTTCTTGTTAATGTTACAAGTCAGAATTTTATTTCAATGAAACTGTGCTATTTTTAAGATTGTTGCGCATTTGATACATACGTTGTTTCACACAGCATTAAATGAAGTTTATGGGGGTACAATTCATAGGTACCCAGGGTCAAATGACATTGACCAGCCAGCGACCTTCACACTGAAATTTTAAGGTTTTTTTTTCCATAAGGAATGAAATCCTGACCAAAGTTTTCATGAGCTTGATTTAAAAAAATATGGAGAGGGTGTGATTAATGTCCTTAAATGTGGAGACAACTGAAAAAAAACACACCGTTAAAATGCTCTCAATGCACCCAAAGAAAACTCAGCTGATTGGAATCTGAACAATCTGTACATTGAAGGCTTGACTTCATCCGAGCTATACTGGGGCCAATGTTGAATTACGGATGCTGGTTAAAAATTTGGGCAGCAGGGAGGAGGGGTAGAAGGAGGAAGATGGAGAGGGAGAACTCCAAAGCAGCACCAACGTACAGTAGAAGGATTGACTTCTTTTGATGCTATGTCATCAGTAACATCTGTGTATGTGTGTGTGTGTGTGTGTGTGTGTGTGTGTGTGTGTATATGTGTGTGTGTATGTATGTGTGTGTGTGTGAGAGAGAGAGAGTGAGAGAATGAGAATGGTACAGCTCACTGACTCAACTTTCAGTGACCCTACTAACCCAAGAGCTTGGCTGTTAGATGCCTTCAGATTCCTCCCTCCTTCCCTAGGGCCCTGCACAAGAATGACCCCAAGCAAAAGAAACAAAAATACAATGTTTCTGGGGTGGAAAGAGTGAGATTAAGTGGGAGCCAATCAGGATGGAACAGTGGCATTCCTGCTAGAATATTCCAAACATTCATAGAGCTTGGACAAAAATAAAGAGGCTTTACATTGCAAAGGCCATTGCATCAAACTGGTTATAAATTGAAAACATTCTCCACTTCTCCCTGACCACACCCTTGCTACTCTCAATCTCTACAAATTATTCTTCTTTTTAAAGATGATTAAGGAAGATTTATTATCAGTGCCTCAGTTAGCCTCTCTTTCAAACAGAATCAATTATTGGCGCAATATCCCCAAATTCTTCACATCACATGTGCCAAACTGAAAAAAAACCAACCAAGACATGAGAAGGTAAGAAATATGAGCAGAAAAATAACACGCCCCCCTCCCCAGGCTTACTCAGTAACATCATCACTTCAACCATAATTCCACTACCCTATGGTGCCCCCATATCCTTTAATTCTCTGAGTGCTTAAAAATATGTTACTCTCAATCTTGAGTATCCTCAAACTAACGTAAGAAGTATAGCAGGAGTAGGTCATTCAGTCACTTGAGCCTGCTCGGCCATTCAACAAGATCACTTCTGATCTGATTATAACCTCAAACGCACATTCCTTCCTACCCTTGACAACCTTTCACTCTTTGCTTAAGAAGAATCTATCCACCTCTGCCTCAAGAACTCTATGACCAACACCTTTTCCACCAACTGCAGACCCGCAGCAACCTGGCATAGAGACTTCCAAAAGATACACAGCCCTTTAGGGGCAGAAATTTCTTCTGCTATCAATCCTTAGCAAAGTGAACAGGATTTTGCTTTTGAGGGACTGTGGACTTAGAAATGGGGGCCTATCCTATTGGCGGAATTTGGGAGCAGAGTTTGACACATTTTGTGGTTGAAAGAGAAGTAATTGGTGCAGAACACAGTGAGATAGGAACAGTAAGCTGGATCACTCTAACCGATTGTAACTTCTAACGGCAGAACAGTTGCCCTGTCATGCATGGCGACCATCTCTCCCCCAGGAGAGCTGTCCCCCCATCCCTCACAACAGCTCTCACGGGTTAAAATTGCTGCAATGAGGTTTAACATTGCAGAATCATAGGAACGGTTTTTAATCTGTCTCCAAGGTAACCATATCATCCTTTAAAATAACATCCTCGCTTTTGTTTGCCTTTTGTTTCCTTTTTTTTATTCTGCCTTCTCTGCTCGTCTCTGTGGGTAATGCTGCCTCTTTTCCTCCTCCTCTCTGTGATTTTTTTTGCCTTGAGTCTGTTTGAGTCTCTCTCTCTCTCCCCGCCCATGTCTTCCTGAGCTTTCTCTCTTCATGTCTTTCTTTTCTCCTAAATTGTGCATCCCTTTCTTTGTGGGTGCCTACCCCTCTCATTTCCCCATTGTATGGTTGCAGGTGCACGTTACTCTCCCTCAGGCTGCATGCCTTTCTTTTCTTTTTCTTTCCCCCTGCTGTTTTGTATCCCTTTATCTTTGTCCATCTGTCTATCTTTCCCTCCCACCTTTTTAAATGGTATGTTTGATTCCACTATAACCAGATATCTCCCCTTTTAAAGCTCACAGGCTCACGGAGCTGACTCCACGCAACCAGGAGGAGGTCCCTTGATGCTCTCAGTAAAGGTTAGTCTGAATATATTTTGTCATCTTCCGCTCTTTGAGCTGTAATTATCATTGCTTGGTTTCTAGGTAACCTCAGTCACAGTTCTAATACCTCTTGCCCTCCTTGTGTACCAGCGCATGTCATATTTCTAATTAAAGAAATATTTTTCCGTCTGAGAACAAACGCTTTTATAACAGATTTGTCGGTGTCCTGACTGTGATCTCCTAATTTCCAATTGTTTTTACCCTTGTCATTCTTGTGTTTACTCCACAGCAAAAGGGAAGGGGGTTGGGCCCAAAATTAAAAAGACAATAGGTTGAGAACTCGAATTGGGCTGGTAAAACTGTGAATCAATAGGTGTATTTTTTTAAACATCACCCTTGTCATTATCCCAGGTCCAGCATCTGGACTTTGCTGTGTTAGGTGACAATGCTGTTGATTTGGATCCCAGATTCCGAAAGGATAAAAGGACAGCCAGTCTACTTCGCCTTCGAGTGGCACCTGTTTGCATGTTTGTGGATAAGCTATACTAGACATGTGACTGCTGTGCAGTGCTGTGAAAAAATAATTTCCGCATTGCAACCGTGGAGAATCCAGATTGCCAAGATAATTTTTCTGAAATGTTGTTTTGTGTAACTGGGCAGAGTTCCAAGCAGAATTTGTAAACACGTTGCAACTGAGGGGACTGCTAAAGCAAAAATAGCTCTTTGCACAAATCCAGAACAATGCGGATATGCCTGTTTGGGGATGGAGAGGAACATCATGAGGCTAAGTACAAGCTGCATTAATCAAATACTCTCCAGAAAGTGATGGACCTACTGCTACTGGAAGCAGGTAATAGTTACCATTATTAATGAAGGACATGAGAAGGTTCCAGGATTCGGCTTTACACTGTGTTGAGCATTTATGGTAGTTTTCCCCGTCAGAAGACAAAGTGGGTGAGGGTGATACAGAGTCCAAGCCGGATACTTTGTACATGACTGTGGAAAGGGATTAAATGGGTTGCACAGGAACCATAATGAGGGAGATTGTTCACAACACATTGTGGAAATGTTCATGATAGGCTGGATTGCTGATGCCATTGGGAAAGAGATTAAATGGCTGACATAGAGACAATGACAGGATGAGTGTAAAACAAGATGTGGATGCCTGAAAGGAAAAGAAATTTTTCATCCTCAGTTTCACTCCTTCCATTGTTGAAGATACTGGCTTGGTGAAGTGGGGGATGGAGCAGTCTCCATCATCACCAACTGACCATGTGTGGGCAATGTTACACAACAGCAGTAGCTGACCAAGGTTGTGCTTTTCTGGTGACAGCCTAGAGGGTTCCTAGTGAGGATCCTAACTGAAAGATGTTGGAAATATCAGCCATGGGCACCATCAGTGAGAGCTAGAATCAGGGGTCCTTTTCAGAGTGCATATAGGTTTATTAATTAAGGACAGGAGTAGGCTATTTGGCACCTCAGTACTGTCATTTGATCAGAATTTGCTAAGGGTATGGCTTTATGCAACGTGTGTGTTGCCTTCAGCAGAATATTTCATCTGATATGGCAATGCCTTATCATATAATAAACTAGACATGGATATCATGATATTGAAGCATTAAATAGATGTTTATTACAACTAGTTCTTATGTACAAACATTACATTTGTGAGCACATCAGTGACTGGCCTAACACCAAGCTATTAGAATATAACTGAGATGCATGCTTCTAGTAGCATGTCATGCTTCAAATGGCCTCAGTTAAGGTGTCTATGAGATCTTTATATTCTGAGGTTACATACTACAATACCGTAATAACATCATGAGCATATTTCTTTAATGTAGACTGGCATATTGACTATGAAACATAACCAATTTTATGTAGCTCCTAAAACTCCATGTTTCTTTAGAACAATTCTGGCATCACTGACAAGGCCAGGATTTATTGTTCATCCCTAAATATAATACCAGCTTGCTAGAACATTTCACAGAGCCATAAAGAGGGCAATAAAGTACATTGGCTTCAGATTGGTCACTTAGAACCCAGTCCAGGTGATGATAACAGATTTGCTTCACTACTCAATAGCTTCATGATCACTTTTAATGGATACCAGCATTTTTATTTCCAGATTTTAAAAAAATGGAAATTCTCAATCTATTATGTTGGGATTTAGGTTCACATTCTGTGGGTAATAATAAACCCAGTTAATTTCCATTTGGTCTTACTGGATCAGAGAGTGGTTCAACCTCTGTTAATAAAATACCTTAATCCATTAATAAACTGGCATTTCTCTGGTCCTGTGAATCCTAAGCACACTGTGACAAAAGACGTGTGCTTCAGGGCTCAACTCACTGGGGTTTTCAGAGGGAGGCAACTGATAAAAGAAATAAGCCACTTAACCTCAATGCCTGGCAACCAGCACACAGCAATCTACGTGCATCGATGACGCATTTATTTAATAGACCCCATACAAGTTGCTCCATTATATTATACTTTGCAATTTTGATGGTTTGCTGTTATAAAATGAAATTGAACATCTGAAAAATCGATTTTCTTAATGTGTGTTTACTTTCCTGGGTGTATGAATAAAAGGAATAAATGTGCCGCACCCCATCTTAGCTGCTATATTTGGGATTGGTGCGACAATATTTTGTGTCATATTATCAAGAGTGTTTCTCAAGCTATCAGAATGTGAGCTGGTGAGGGAAGAGACCCCAGTTTATAAGTAAGACCAAGTGAGACAAAGATTCACAAAGATAAGAATGGTCTGGATTGAGAAATAGGCACCACTTGAGTTGGTTTAGATAGTGATGCTCTTTTATTTTCCTTTGAGATGACCTAACAACAATTTGCATTTACATCCTTTAATGTAGCAATACATTCTAATGCTTATCGTCCAAGCATTATCAAATTTGCTTTTAACAACAGGCCAAACTTATAGCCATTGGTTCAGATGACCAGAAGATTCAAAAAGAGGTGACTTTAAGAAATGAAGAGAGAGAGATGTGAGGTTATTGGAAGGATAGCAGAACGCCAAGAACGCCAAGAAAATAAGGATGCCCAAGAGGCCAGAAAGGTGTACAACAGATATCTTGCAGTATTGCAGGGCTAGAGGAGATTGCAGAGGTAGAGAGGAGGTGAGTTAAAGACTGGAATTGATAAGGGTAAAGGACTAATGCACAAAGTACAGGGCATCATTTGACTGAAATGAGTGAGACCAAGGTAAATCAGCAGCTAGCAAGTGACATCAAGTGTGGATTTAAAAGCCTGAAGATTATAATGACAGCAAAGCTTAAGGGAAAATTTGGAATCCCCTAGTTTTCAGATGTTCCCAATTGCTGTTATGTTCCATTGTGTTTTGCCAGTTAACTGTTAGTTAACTCCATTTATACAAAATCATGTTTTCACATTAAAACTGCCAGAAAATGGAATGGGAATTGGGCAAAAAGGATCTTACGAACAGCATAAATCCACCCTTTCCTTTCTGTACTAAGTAAACAAAGCAAATCATACATTACAATTGATCACTGGCATGACAGAATGCTCAACTCATGGGGTTGGTTTAGATTAATTGTAGAATGTACATTAAAAGTGATTACAACACACTGCTCTTTCATACAACAAACATGCCTATAAATGGTTAAATCAGCTTCTAGGCAAATGTATTAATTCTGTCCTCTATGATCTCCCTTGGAGTGCGAGCAGGAGCATGCGTGCTTCTCTATGACTCATTGACTATGTGAGTGTATCTGATTCTCTCTTACCATACACTTGCCTCTCACCACCTCCACCTCCCCACTAACACCCCCCAACCCCAAGTGCATAATTCTTTCTCACTCTTAGAGTGCGCCTGAGATTTTACCTTTTCCATGTGTTTCTCCAACTTTATGAATCTCAGTTCCTCTTTTTATATTTACTTTTGCTGTCCCTCTCTGTGTGAATATGTGCATCTGTCTGCCTCTCTTCCAATATGCATGTTTAAATGTGCATCTTTCTATTGCTTATTGGAATTGCATCTTTTCCCGTCAACTTAGGTGCTTTTCTGTCTGTCTCTGTTCCTCTTTTCTGGCTCCTACTGTGACTCTCCTTAAGTCTCTTCTCTCTCTCTATCTGAAATCATAATACTGTAAGGTGTAGGAGTAGAAGCAGGCTAATTGGCCTATTGAGTTTGCGCTGCCATTCAATGAGATCATGGCTATCTGGTAATCATCAACTCCACCTTCCTGCCTTATCCCTGTTACCCTTGATTCCCTTAATGATTAGAAATCGGTCTATCTAAGCTTTGAATACACTTAACAAGCAATCTTGACAGCCCTCTGTGGTAAAGAAAAATTGTATAGATTCACTACCTACTGAGACAAAGAAAAACCTCCTCATATCTCTCTTAAATGGCAACTCCTTAGTCTGAAATTATGCCCTCTGGTCTGAGACTCCCCACAAAAGGGAACACCTCTCTGCATATACAGTGTCACGTCGCCTAAGAATCTTATATGTTAAAATTGGTCTCCTCTCATTCTCCTTGATTTCAATGAGTACAAGTTCAACCTATTCAATCTCTCCCCAAAAGAAAATCGCTTCATACTCAGGATCAATGTCGTGAACCTTCTCTGGACTGCCTCCAATGCCAGTATATCTTTCTGTGCTCCTCTCTTTGTAGCTATATAACTCTATTCTTCATTTTGTTTATAATGCGATGGTTAGATAGAGCTTTACAATACTTGAACAGGCCATTCAGCCCAATAGGTCATTGTAGATGTCTATGCTCGAGACAAGCATACACCCCACCAAGTTTCAAGACCCCAATCAACACATTTGTCTTCCTTTATTCTCTCATGGTCCAGTATAGCTTCCTCCTAAATGCATCTCTGCATTGTTGATCAGCCTCTGTGAACCCAAATTTCACACTGAGAGACAACAACTCAAATTATTGGGGTCTCTGTCCCTTTGTTTGAATGCTAATAGGTCTGTAAAGCTGACTAAGTTGCTAATGTTTCCTGGGCACATCAGATGAAGCCAGAATCTTTGGTCAGCCAAAT